GCTAGTGAATGTTATGTGTCTGAGGCAGGATTTGAACTCAGGTCCTCCTGACTCCAGGGCCGGTGTGCTATTCACTGCGCCACCTAGCTGCCCCAAGAATTTTCTTTCTTGATGAGCTCATAGGGTAGCAGCAGCTCAGAAAACAGATTGGACTTTTCCCTTACAGAGGAAAAAAAAAAGAGTCCTAACTCTGACATATATTGGTGATATCTCATCATTTTCTCCACTTCTCCAGAGTCTAACAGAGATTGGCTGAAATAAAGGTCAATGAAATCAGATTGGAATGTCTGAACCCTGTTGTTTAACAGTCTTGATTTAGTTGCTGCAAAACTCTCTTACCGATACCATGAATACCAGCTCGGACCATGAAGCTGTACCCTGCCAGGCCAGGTGGTTATCTATAGGGCTATAATTTGGGGGAATAGGAGAGTGGAAATAGAAGATGCAAAGACAAAATCATTTTTAAAGGGTTTTTAAATAGGTATAAATATGTATTATATGTGTGTATATATTATAGATACATATATATGTCTAATATATATATCTTATCTTAATACAAGCATTTTTTTCTACATGAAGTCATCTCATGTAACGGGCAAACAAGAACTTGTTTATAACAAAACTTTTGGAGCTGTTGTTTCCTCATATAGAAGTTTCTGGAAGAACAAATTCAGGTAAGCAAAGGACTAATAGGATTTTATTCAGCACATCATCTGTTAAGATGTCCTATATATTTGTAAGCTGATGTATAACAGGGAACAGACAGAGCACCAGTTATACCTGATCTTGGGTTCTTGTTTATTGATGACTGATTGATTTGTGGCCCATTCATATACCTGAGCTATGTGCTTGGACTTAAATTTAAAAGAGGGAACTAGAGGCAATAGTGGTAAGCTCGGGCCATCGAAAGGACTCTAGAATTGGGTCTGCAAGCTGCAGACCCTGATAGTATGAAATACACAGAAATGAGAACAGGCACTGAGAGTAAAAATGCCAGGATTTCTATAGCCAGAGACCAAACAGATAGGTGATGATGTAGGGGTTATGGATGAAGAAATCACACAGGTTGTCAGCAGTGTCCTCTGATGGAATCTACAGAATATGTACTTTGTACGTAATCCCAGTGCTTAGCACAATGCCTACCACATAGTAAGCGCTATATAAATTTTAGCTATTACTATAGGATGTATTTAATAAATGTTCTGTCTATCTATCTAACCCCAACATATGGTGTTAGGTATTTCTAAAACAAAGCAATCTTTTTTCTTCTCCCTAATTTTTTATTCCACTCTCCACGACAGTTATTTCAAACATTCTTTCCTCAAGCTCCCAACAGTAACCTTTCTGTCTGCAGGGGTGGAGAACCTGTGCTAGCCAATGCAGTACACCAAACTTATTGCATGGATTTTGTTGTATGAAACTTTGAACTATGTACTTGCATGTGGCTCATGTATCTGGGATATTTGCCTGTGAGTATGATGTGTGTAAATTAATGGATGCTTGGGAGTGAACTAAGAAGCTTTATCTGTATATCCAATGTGTCTTGCAGGGACTGCAAATTTACAACTGATGGGAATACTGTTAAGAAAGGAAGGGATTGATTGTGCTAAGTCTACAAGAATGCAGGACAAAGGCAGCCAGCTCTGCCTCTTGTCCCTCTAGTGCTTCCCTAAATCTTCAAGGTAATATGAATGGTCCAGGTGTGAGCTGTTGGGAAAATAATGAATAGAGGGTTTCCTCCTAACTTCCTAGCTTGTTGATAGGGAAGGTACTTAGATGAGGGCTTAAGCCAAATAGTGGCCTCTACATTTATTTTATTTTAATATTTATTGTTTGTCTCAAAGTCATTGATTTCTGTTTGGTCCATTCTAGTTTTCAGGCAACCCATTTCTTGAATAAAATTTGCTACTTTTATCTTCCAAGCTATTTATCCTTCCAATTCTTTCCTC